TGGCTGAGAGCTGCCCGTTGTGCCACCGCATCCCCCCAGAGCCCACCAACCACCACAAACCACGAGGAAATGCACGTTGATTGAAAGGGAATGAATGTTTTTCGAACCGACTTGTTTCCAGGTCCCTCGACGCGTTTTAAACCAGCCCTGCCCTTCGTCTCGGCCTGTTGCACTTTTCATCCTCACACAGCAACACTCTTCTATAAAAAGGCACGAGAAAGGCTTCATTGGCAAATATCATCATCAGTTCCATATTCCTCTCTCTATCATTTGATGTTTGCATTTCGACTTGCCGACTCATCTCGTTCGGGTCGGACTCCATAACGAGACAAGCTTTCTCCTGCCATTCTTTATACAGCGTGCTCTGCATTTTTGCATTTGCATTTTACAGTCTCTTTCTGCAGCACACAAAGTGCCTTGTCATACCATATTAAACTGTCCATATAATAACCTCGACTTTGATACCCAAACATCATGACGACTTTCGAGAACATCTTCGCCTGGCTGGTTCCAACGGCGCGCGGCAGCAATGCCGACAAAACAACTAATATGACTGAAAACTTCTTCCGCACCATCCCCATCGACTCCTCCGCCTACCTCACCTCCAAACTCCCCAACCTCATCGTCAGCCGGCCGCAGAGGGCCATCCAGCTCTCCTTCGACCAGACCCCCAAGCGGCCCGGGAGCTTCATCCTCGGCACGGACCCCCGCACCTGCGACATCGTCCTGCCCGCCCTGCCGGGCATCTCGAGGCAGCACTGCTCCCTCTCCTTCGACTCCAGCTCCCGCCTCGTCCTCGAGGACTTCTCGGAGCGCGGCACCCAGGTGTGGTACGACTGGGAGAGCTGCGGCGACAGGACCGACTACACGTGGGTGCTGGCCAGCGCCCCCAACACCGCCCAGCGCATCACCGTGGACATCCAGGGCGTGCGCTTCCAGGTCGTCACTAACGAGTGCCCGGCGCGGCACCGCGCCGCCTTCGAGGACAAGGTGGACGCCTTTTGCCGCCAGCCGTCGTGGGTCGACGGGCTCACCCTCGGCTGGGAGCGCGTCAGCGTACCGCCCGTCACGCCGCTCTTCGACGCGTCGCCGCTGTTCAGACATATATTTGTCCAGGGCCTGATCGGTGATGAGCCCAAGGGGGAGATCTATCTCTGGAATATGGCCAAACCGTGGGAACCCATGGTGAAGGCTTCCGCATAAAGAAAACAAAACCACAACACAACCACACTCTTTTTAATATACTTTCCTTTGGGTTCTTTTTTTTTTGTTTTATTTTAGCGATAAGCGATCATATGGGGACTGGGGAGCATTTGGGTTTATGAACTTTCCTATTATGTTATATCATGGAACAAGGATGCACACATATAGATTGCCAGTTCTCACAGCAGGGCACCGACGCCAACTCATCTCCTTCTTTTTAGTTGTAGCAAACATGCACCTAGCTTAGCGTAGCAATAATTGACCATAGTCGCTCCTTGAGCCTACAAATTTCTTAGTACCAGAAGTGAGAAAGTCATGGTGAAAATGAGGCTCAGTCGAGTCCTAAAATCTTTTGTTTTGCATTCAACCAAATGAACAAATTACCAATACACGCTTAAGTTGGAAAAATCTCTTGATTCCGAGCATAATACAACATTCCATGATCCCAGTCCCCTTATTCCTCAAACGTCTTGAGCTCCCCCAAAGTAGTGGCAGCAGGCTGGCTCTCATTCTCCTTCTCCTTCTCCTCTTGCTCCTCGCCCAGGAACCTCGTCATGCTGAACTCGGGGGCCCTCTTCCTGGTACGTCCACCCTTCCTCTCCTTCCTCTCCTTGGCCTCGCGAGCCTCCTGCTCGACTAGCTTCTTCTCGCCCGACTTGTCGAGCATCGTGCCCTGCAGGCTCAGGTACGTCGAGTCGCCGCTCACGCCCACGTCAAAGTTGCGTATGCGGAACCTGGTCTTCCCCTTGATCTTGTCGCCGTTGCCGTCCACCCAGAACCCGGTGCTGTGGATCTGGCGCACGACGCCGTGCTCGTCGGCGCCCGTGAAGACCGAGGCCGTCTCCTCGAAGCCGTCCTCGGCGTCCTCGTTGGGCACCCACTTCCACGAGGGCGGCAGGCGGCGCGCCTCGATGGAGGCGTTGAACTTGCCGAAGCAGACGACGCCGATGTGGCCCTCGGTCTGCAGGTTGACGCTGCCCTCCATCCAGGCGCCGCGGCTGGGCACGAACAGCTTGACGTCGGCCGTGATCCAGCCGAAGCCGCCGCCGAACTCGTTGCGGGCGGAGAGGACGGCGTGGGAGTCGTCGTCGGTGGCGGCGCCCTGGCGGCTGGGCTTGTCGTTCAGAGCGACGTTGCTGTACTCGAGGAGGACGCCGCGGAGGGAGGGGACGTAGCGGTTGAGGAGGTGGCGGAGGTGCTGGGATTCGCAGCCGGAGATGGGGTTGGCCCACCCGTTTGGATAGATGGGCTCGTAGAGAGAGACGGTTTGGTTGAAGAAGGGGAATTGGGGGTTGGAGGGGATGTCGGCCGGCGAGTGAATCTTGCTGCTGGAGGATTTTGAGGTCGGCTTGGGGGCTTCGTCGACCTCCATGGCGTCGACCTCTGGTTCTGGTACTGATTCTTGTTTGTCCTCCTCCTCGGACTCGGGTATCGGTTCTTGGTGCTTCTTGGACTTCTTCTTGCTCTCGGTGCTCTCTGCGGCCACTGGCTGCTCGCCCTCCTTCACTTTCTTGTCCTTCTTCTTCTTCTTCTTTTTATCGGACTCGGCGACTGTCTGGGGCTCTTCGGGTACCGCCTCCTTCTTGCTCTTCTTCTTCTTCTTCTCTGGTTTCGAAGCACCCTCATCAGCCTTGACAGCTAGGCTCTCGTCGTTGGCGACATCTTCCTGAGCCTCGCTCTTCTTCTTGTCCTTCTTTTTCTTCTTTTTCTCGGAGCTCACTTCCCCATTGGCGATGTCGGATGGCGGAGGATCTGAAACAACGCTCTTTGATTTCTTGTGCTTGCGCTCTGCGTCGGCAGCGTCTTCTTCTCGGGAACGCTTCTTGGCGGACTTGTCCTTTTTCTCCTTCTTGTCCTTCTTGGGAGTAGATGATGCGTCTTGCGCCGATAATATGGGAGCCATCGCTCTTTGTGCGTGCCCAATTGAGGGGCAATTTGAGAAGTGGCGAGGAATTGGCGGCGGCGGGATAGATTATCAGCGGACGTGTGAGGCTTGCAGCGATAATCAAGTGGGAAATTTTTTTTCGCCGGAATTCCTTATCGCTTATCAGCACCCGTTAGGAGTGGGACAGCTACCCTCCAGCCATTGACCAATGCTATTTCAACATATCTACGGTAATGAGAGCCGTTCAATAAAATGGTATGAATAAGATAACGGTATATAGAGCTTCTCGTAAATTAAAACCCTATGTTTGTGTCCCTAATGTAGACTTAAGTTGGGGTGGATTAGTTCGCTCAGCTTCCACCCGGGGCGCAGAAAACGCCCTGATGGCTCAACTAACAGCGGCAAATAGGCAACCTGAAACGACTGAAGAAAACATAGCACACCTAGAGCTTCCAGTGTGTTAAATATCAAAACGTTTAATCACCTAGTAATGAACACAAAATCGAGCTAAATAATGTAGAATAATCTATCATAACATTATTATTATGTGATAAAAAAAAACGAGGTCCCGGACTTGCGTGATTAGAACTTTGTGTGCCATGTTTTATGTCAGTCGCTTGCCATATTAATGTCTGTTCAAACCTTAATCCTCTATAACCGCCGAAGCAATTATAATGTAGAGAAGCCTCTCAGTCTTGGAGCTACCTGCAGAGACCTTGTTATTATTAGATCGGGACGTAATTCTCTCGGTCCCTCATTGAGTTGCTTGAAACTGAACTAACTGCATGCTGCCGATTGGAGCCAACTGCAAGCCCGGACCCCGCCTCCTGCCAGTAACTGAACCTTGGGGCAGCTCATCCCAGAGGATGAGGCGGCTGTGATCAACCTTGAATGAAAATGGCACTCTGCACTCCCGGTGCCATCGCAGGAACGGCCGCCCCCAGACAAAGCTGCCGAGTGCGCTCTTTCACCACCAGCAGACATGGGAAAAAACGCACATTCATGACGGAATCGCATTTTGCTCGTATGACCAATACGCGTGCCCACCCACACACCACACAGGCTCAAACAGCTGGGCCCGTGTTTGGGGTCGGACCCCTGGTTGCGCGACCACGTTTGAGACCAGGATGCATCCCACAAGCGATCCCACGTCCTCGCAGCCTTTCGACCCTGGCCCGGGATCCTGCCGATGCAACATCTGTTTCGCCTGTGCAGACCACATCGCGGTTGGTTTTAGAATACTGGCCCGCGAGACCTGTCGCGCCTTACCATGAATCCCCATGCATCCCTGTCCGAGACTCTCCCCCTCGGAACTCGCTGCTCTGCCGCCGTGTTGGATGGAGGAAGCCCATCCGATCCGAGGTCCTCATCTTTTGGACCTCTCTGACGTGTATAAGCTTGGCCCTCCCACCCCTCCCTGATCGCGCCCGGCCAGCTGCTCCAATGCCTTTGCTCTGTTAAATCGTCAACCTCCCTTCTTTTGCGGCACGGCAGGCCCGTTTGCGCCTTTTCTTTCTTTCTTCTCCTACCAAGCAACGACTGCCGCGAGCCGGCCGAATTTGCGCTGTCATGGCGCAGAAGTACTATGGCGAGCCTGGGCACCTCATTGGCGTTGGAATTGGGATGATTGTACTTGACTTATTTTTTGTGGCACTGCGATTCTGGACCAGGCGGAGGCAATCGCAGAAATGGTTGGCGGACGACTGGCTGTTGGTGCCGGCCACTGTATGTATATGCGCCCATCATGGCCAAATCCTCAAGCCCAGCACATGGGAGGGTTTTCAGGATGAGACTGAATTAAGCTTACATTGCGGAATTGTAGGTTCTTCTAGTAGGAATGGCATCGCTGGTGATTTGGAGTGTTACCCATCGATATATCGCCTACCCTCTGGCTATCCCGGACAACATCACCATGAAGGATTTCGGCTTGCTTTCAACCGAAAAGATGGTTTTCGCATCAAAGGTAAGATTGTAAACTGCGATAGGTGGGAACTAGCTGACTTTGAACCTAGCTGGACTATTACTTCCTGATCTTCATGTGTCCCTGCCTTGGCCTCATCAAGACGAGTTTCTTGTTCCTTTACAAACGAATTTTCACTTCAGAGTACGGCAGCGCTTGGAACCATACTTTCAACGCGGCCATTGCCTTCACACTTCTCTGGACCGTCGCATTTTTCGGAGCTCACATCTTTGAATGTGGTACTCACTTCTACGCAATCTGGGGCGACGCAGAGTCCTACCTGGAATATTGCACCCGGATTCCTCACCTGGTGTTCGCCTTCTGCCTCACGGACCTCCTCACAAATCTCATCATCGCGCTCGTCCCCATTCCACTGGTAAGTTGATCTCCATTTACAATAGGGGCGTTGCTATTTTGGACTTGCAAGGATGTCGCTAACCCTCACCCAGATCTGGGGATCAGAACTGAAATTGGGGAAGAAAATCGCCACCGCCGGGGTCTTTGCCCTGGGTATAGTGTAAGTGGACTGCATCATCTTATATGAACACTAGAGACTAATATCAACACAGGAGCATTGCTGCCTCAATCGTCCGACTCCGTATGTCCGTCGAGGCCGCTGGCTTCTCCCTCAACGGCAGCAAGTCCCAGGATCTCCCCACCATGTCCAACGGCACCAGCCAGGCGGGCGACGAAGTTTTCCTGACAATCGCCCTGCACCTCTACTGGGCCATCGTTGAGTGCGGCATCGGCATCGTGGCCGCCTCCCTCCCGGCGCTGGCATTCTTCATGCACCCCCTCTCACTGCTCTTCACGGGCCAGTACATGTACGCCCACCACAGCGCCTTCGTCTCCAACGCGGACTCCGCCGGCGGCAGGACCCCCATGGCCGGCACCTCTCGGTGCACCACGGCCAGGTCCGGCGAGAAGCGCTTCGACGGCCTCGAGGGGCACTGGCGGAGCGGATCCTCGGGCAGCGACGACACCGCCGTCAACCTGGACAAGGACATCGAGGCCGGAATGTGCGAGAAGTGGATCGGCGTCCAGCTGGATAAGTTCATGGAGGCCAACGAGGGTGCCCACCGCATCGACCGCCCGTTCACACCTACTGAGCGGCGGCCGAGCACTGCCCGCACCCACGTAGGTAGCGAGGAGTTTCCGGACCACCCCCCGGAGGCTCACATAGCCAGGAGAGAGAGCAAGTTTCAGGAAATCTGGTGGAAATAAGACAGCAGGGGGCAAACCTGCTGGATCTGGGCTATGTATTATTCTCAATTCCGATTCTTTGCAAACTTCTTGAACTATCTTCGAGACGTCACCTTTTTCTTCTTCGCCTATTGTATTTGTATTGATACGAATACCAGAAAAAGGCCCTTTGAGCCTTTGACCTTTCCCCAATTCATGCATCTTGGGATTTTGCTTATGATAATGATGCAATGATGCCTTGGCATATGAATCCTGCTCCATGTCACAACTATTGTTGTGGATAACTATTGTTACGGACAACTATTGGCGTGGAAAAATATGCATCCATTGAACTGGGTAAAAATGACGGGGACTTAGAGCTATATTGGAACTACTTCGTCAACGTGGCCAGGTCCTGGGGACCACCGGCGACCCTGATCTCTGAGCACCATCGAGACTGAATCAAGATGAATAGTAGTTTTCATCACGCAGCAAGATTTCATACCGAGGTTGGCACGCCATATTTGGGTCAACAGACCCAATTTAGCCTGGCAAATTCCGTGACCCCAACCAACACCACTCTTGAAGGAGTACATCGGATCGACAGATTCCATGTACCTACCCATCAGAACATAGCCAAGAGTCTCCTAAGTCCAAGCCGGATCATCCAGCGCGTAAAGCAACTCAAGAATAGAGTTCACGCAGACCCATAGAACGAACCATCGCGAGTGGATTAAATCATGGAGAGATGTCACCATCTTCCTATCCAAGTCCAGCATCTTGACCCGAGTCGTAGGATGGCGACGTCTGGAAGTTGGAAAGACCTCTGATCGGGGCTGGAAATCCGAGTTATTGAGAGTTAGCTTGGCCCCCCGCCGAATAGAGTTCCACGATGGATGTTGGGCTTGCAATTTTGGGGACGATTCTACGATCTACTTTAGCCTTGACAGCGAGGAGTAGACTGGGCGTATAAGCGCTCCCCAGATTTCTAGAACCTACGCGGAGGTGGACCGGAGAGACGAACCGGGAAGTGGCCTGTTGAGTCGCTGTAAGTACGGGTTTAATACCATCTTTGCACTTCTACTTGGTTCTATGAGAGAACCTTACGAGAGACGACGGAAGAGGGAACGTCTAACAGGCTCGGTGGAATCACCGGATATGGGAACGAGAGAGGGAATAAGGCAGCAGCTTTGGCTATTCCCAATGAACGAGAAAGTGGATTAGGCGACGTACGCTGCCTCTCTGCAGACTCTGCAGCAGACCGAGTACTCACACTCGCAGCGCTTTCTTCTCTCGATCGGTGCCTGTAAGCCGTGATGATGCCTGGCGGTTAGGATCCATAGCGCTTGTATGGAACAGCTTTCACCAAATGAGGACATAGACCCATTTGGGTCGCAGCTTTGGGCAAAGTCAGGGCGGGAGAAGGGCCTAGCAAGAGTCAGGCACCGGGAACGGGAACAGTAATGCCTCACCCATTGCATTAGGGCATGATTTCAAATATGGTGTGGCAGCTGCTTAGCGCAGGGCGACACGAGGCGATGGAGCAGTCGTTGGTGTCGGACTTGTGGCGTTCAACTTTCGAAGCCTTCCTTCCCTTAACCTATTCGGTTGATGTGCCGATCTTTAACCTAATTGTACTGCACTTTGCAATAATTGGAACCACTTCTAGAAAGACTCTTGAGAAAAGCGTCCCTGCTCCTGGGCGGGTGTGTGTGTGTGGATGGCGGGATGTCCACGTACCTCTCGAAGAGGTACTTGTGATGAGACAACAGGAAGCCGGAACTTGGCGGCGCCCTTGTGCCTACCACTTGGATGCCTCTCGGTTCGCCATTCGGACGTGTCGGGATTTCACTGGAGAGTTGCCCGTGGCCGAGTTTGCTCGGTTGGGTGGAGGGAGGATGAGCAAGAGGAGGCACACAGCTCGATATGAGACAAGCCACCTGCACCCGCGATCCTGCATTCTCTACCTTGTACCTGGGCACCGGCAAACTCAAAAGCTGTACCTGCATCAGAGCTGCAGGCCCACCAGTAATCAGAGCTGGCGCAAGCCAGAGACCTCGACCAACGTCCCCGTCACTCTTCTATTGAGGTTTGGACTTCAAAGGGGTCGTCTTTGTAGGACACCCTCTTTCGGGCAGGTAATTCCAGCCTCAGTAGGAAGCATAATGGTTAGCAATTACAGCAAAATAAGTTCATCTGATCTTTCGGGCCACTGAAGGATCAGTGCTCGCGGACCCGTCCTCAGATATTAGTCATGGCAGTGACGGGCATTGAAGAGGAATATTACCTGCCGATCAGGTCGGGAACAGCCGAAGTCAAAATCAGGCGGCAGCCAAATTGCAGAAGATATGCATTCACTTTATCTGTCCTGTGTGTTGTATTGTATGGCAGCTAAAGGAGAATATTGATATGTTAACACGTACTAGCCAGCCGCACAAGGCACATCTCGTCTATACTTGTTATTCTAATCCCCCTTGCTTTTGCTTATTACTTTCAAAAGGCACCAAGCGTAGATAGTTAAGGAGGTGGCTTGCCGCAGACTGAGCAAGAGGCGTCACTAATACGCACCGGATTGGTCCGTAAGAACAACGGCTGGAGAGCAAGGTTTCGGCCTACAGCAGCCACAGCGGTTGTGCGATGAGAAAAGACAATGCTACGTGGATTGTTATTATTGGAATTGCTTTGTCCCATCGTTCGTCGCAAGAGAGAGTTCAGCCCAAGGCTAGTAGGCACGTGGAGAGAGGGAGAGGAAGAAAGGCCAGAAAAAGGCACAGCAAAACTGGTCCAAGCACACGGCTCAGTGTGTGTGAGTTTCAGGTCTTCCCCTGCCAAGACAGATCCCATGCGGCCCTGCCGCCCTCTGGTCCAACGCGGGGTCCTTACCCTTGCACAATCGTGTAAGTCGAGTGATTGAGCACTTGGGTATTAGTCGCTGGTTTCCTAGAGAGGCAGTCGTAAGAAACCAGAAACCATCTCGCGGGCCCTGACCCTGCGCAAGGTCAGGATTTCTGGGGGTGCCGAGGCCAGGGGACGGACGATGACGGGCATTTGCGAGGGCTACATGCTTGGTCCCGAGAGCAAGATCCTGTTCCTGGGGGTTCGTGGTGTTACCACCTCCAAGTCAGGCCAGGCACACTCCCACTCCGGCAAGTGCCATCTTGACATTTGCTTTTTTCTTTCATCTCTCTTGGGCCTTCTATTTTCTTCTCCCTTTTGATTGAGAACAGGATAGCGTACGCAAGCGCAAGTGTGGGCTGACTGACGTGGTGGATGGCCATAGGCGCAACCAGAGGCGAAGCCGAAGCGACCGAGGCGGCTTTGTGCATCCGCCGTGAGCAAGTTCCACACCGGGTCGCGGTCAAGGACTGCGCTCGGGTCCCTACTGGCCAGACCAGTGTCTGCCTACCTTCTTAGCGGCTGCCCGCGACAATCGTTCCCAACAGAATGGAATGGATGCATGGATGCGAGGAAGGGGGAGAGCAGTCTTGCGGCCGGTCCTGGCTAGCGCGCACTAGACCAAGCCCATCAGCCCTGGCTTCCAGGGGAGAGTACCTAATTGACAGCGCCTGTGCTGCCGGGACAAAGCCTGAAGCGCCCTATTGGCCCAGTCCCTGATGCGCTAAAGTGCCCCGTCGAGAGGGCTGTTGGCTGTAAAATCGAGAGGAAGCTGACTGGTCGCGATTAAGTGAGTGTCTCGAGCAGGCATCATGGACTGGGGAGGACGGACCGCATGGGCTGCTGCAACCTTTTCGACTTATTAATATTAACACCATCATCGGAAGCCTGGGTGACAGACCACAGAGTACGCGCGCGGCACGTCCGAGCAAAAAGAAAGCTCATCTGACAAAACGTATACGCGAGCCTGTTGCTGCAAGCCGAGCTTCTTCGGAGTAAGAGTCCACACAGCGCTTCCTTCTCCCGTCCGAAGCCATGGCGTGCGGGAACTGGGCTACATCCGCCGACTCATGGCCTCCCTCCGGCCCTCCTACCGAGAGCAGCGAATGTGCTTCGGGCGACCAGCAGGACGAGTTTTGGGCCAGGTACATGAGACAGCCTCCAGCTCAGGCACCGGTATCCATCCGGACCTGACATGGTCTCGTGTGCTTCCTAATCAGATTTTTCGCGCTTCTTTTTCCCTTCTTTTTGCTTCTTCCTTCTTATCTGGTGCAGCGGTTCCGTTGTGGCGTGCTGGCGCGAAACTTTACAACCCACCATCTTCTGGACGGTAGCCAAATGTGTACGATTCAGGTCGGAGAAACTCAGGTCGGAAGGAATTAAGACGGAGGAGGGTGACAAACGGATGGCTGAGGGAGGGAGCGGGTTCCTGAATTGACAAGAGTTACCTGCCCACCACTTCATCGGAGACCATGTGGTCTTGACACCATGTAACCCTCCTTGCCTGCCGGAAGTCAGAGGCGAAGTAAAAATAAAAATTCTTTATGCAGCCCGAGTAGGAGGTGGGGTCTGACCGTCATTGACATTCCAACTGACAAACCGACATTCAGAGTATGTACCTAAACTGGTGGATGCATCGAGAGGTGGAAGGGGGGTCCATCTGCTCGTCCCATTGCTTCCGTGGGCGGATAGATGGATGGGCAGGCTCGCCAGGGCCAACGGCGTGTGAGGTTAGGTTCGCTCCCGCACGTTTTAGAAGGGATCCCGCCGGATCGTCGTCTCATCCCCAGCAAGCTTGTTTTTCTGGCGTCTCGCCCAGCGGCTCGATAATACCAACCACCTTAGACGCCTCCCTCGCTGCTCGTTTTCTAGCTCTCCATTAGAGGTGTTTGAATCATGAGAAGGTATAGAATTGTGCAATTGACATTGGAAAAAACAGACTATGAAAAAAACGCCTACCTCCTGAAGTGTTGGCTCTGGTGTAAGTGGCGTTGGGATCCATCAAGGAAAACCACCAATGAGACCAGCCCGAGAGAATGCTATCCAGGAACAGGCAAGTCGCGGCCGGGCCTAAGCCCAGCCGGGGTTGGATGCGTGATTTCCCCCAGGGGTCTTTCATCCTACATTGGTCCTCTCAGATAAAGTACATCCGGAATAGTAGTCAGACATCTTGGCTGACTGACTCCAGTACATCCACCACGACACATGGCCCTCTCCACCACCCTGACTAGCATCCATCCCACAGGGATCTGAGGCAAGCCTGGCTGCAGGTCAAAGACCAAGACTGACGGCCCCACCATCTGCTCACTAAAATGGTCCGAATGTGACTTCCAGGATCAGAGGAGCTAGGACGTGGTTCCAGCTCTTGAGCTTCCTCGATGGAGGGCGACTCCCCGATTGCGCCTAGCCTCTACCCGCGACACATGCAAGGTGTACATCGCCCAGCACATGTGTGTAGGGAGAGGGATATACATAGGATAGTAGCGTCGAATGTATCCTCTGACTGGAGCCCAGCCGAACAAGGGTGTGCCGGGGGAACCTACCTTCTCGATAGGAGGATGAAAAGTCTGGTAGATCAGAGCGAGTGGCACATCTCGTCGCCATGTATAAAGATGCCTCCCCCGTCCTGACCATGGCTTCTCTTTTCCCTTCTCAGCAACCAACTCTCACTCTTTGAGACTTTCTTCACCACTCTCTTGTCTATCCTTCACTCGGCTGAGCCGTTACACATTCAAGTGATTCACTCCTTTGCAATCACTCTACCACAATCCTTCGGAACCAACTCAATACCTCTACTCTCGCAGCGCGTTGAGATACCACTTGACACTCTCTTTTGAAAAAAAGCCCAGACTTAAAACTCCCATCATCCAAGATGTTCGCTTCTCTTACTGCTGCCGTCGCCATCGCGGCCTCCTTCATCACCGCTGAGGGTGCCGCCATCAAGCGCGGAACCGGCATCTACGTCACCCCTCACGTCGAGTACTCATCCTCCGTGGGCGTCCTTGGCTGCAAGATCAACACCAACCGCGTCGCCTACTGGCCCAGCAGCGTCGGCTGCGACAACATCTGCGTCCGCGTCACCCACACCGAGTCGGGCCGCACCCTCAACCTCCTCAAGATCGACCAGTCCGGCGGCGCCTACGACATCTCCTACGACGCCTGGAACTACCTCTCCTCGGGCAAGTCGGCCACCGAGAGCCCCCAGATGGGCGGCGGCGTCGCCATGACCTACGAGGACGTCCCCGCCAGCGAGTGCGCCGGCCTCATCAACACCCCGAGCAAGAAGCTGCCCCTCACCGCCGCCAACAGCATGAACTACGTCGCCTCGTGCATCTCCCAGCCCAGCAGCTGGGTCGCCCAGAACTACGAGATGTACAACATCCTCGACCCCATCTGCCACTGGGGCGTCGACGAGGTCTGCTCCCTCGACCTCAACGTCAGCAACCAGCCCACCTGCCCTCACACCCTCGGCGTCACCACGCCCCTGAACCTGCCCGTCACCAACATCGAGTACGGCACCGGCAAGCCCGTCGCTGCTTAAGAAGTGTAAATAGAAAATCCCCAGGTCGAGTCTTGCCTAGCGCAGACTGAAAGGGAACCAGACCTTTGTTCTTGTTTATAAATATACTTTGTTGTACATTCTGTGAATAGACCAAAATAGACCATCTTGATTTGACAGAAATGAAAAAAAGAAAAAAATCTTTGTTAAAGACTCTGCAGTGACATCCAATTGGTGAACTTTTATTGTGCATGAGCCGTCTGCTGATCTCAGATTTCTGTGACAGTAAGCTTAAGTATCCAATCGCCATGGGATATCTTGTGTTGATTTGTTCCTTGCGCCTAGAGCTTGGTGTAAGCTGCCCGGTCCTTTAGGGGCCTTGCGACAGATCTTTGGCCATTCGTGGAAGTGGCTATATGGCGTAGCTATTGGGCGACGCATCCCATGGCAGGGTTTTGGAAAACCCAAGTCGCTCCTGACTTGGCCACAACTCATTCGGAGGTGTGGTGAGACTAGTTTCTTTGGCTGACCTGAGGGTTTGTGGCTTGAATGGCATGGACAATCCTGGGACTTAATGGCTGTGAGGACGAGGGCAGATGATGTAGAACCTGCAGTCGGAACATCCGTTTCCTCGTTCCGATGGACAACCTAGCCGGATGATCTCCCGCCAAATCTGAAAAGGGTTAGGAATCAATCATGGAATCAGAGAGAATCCGACGATTGAATGCCGGACTGCTCGGTTGGGCAGAGGCGTGAAGCCAGAATGTACCGGCCAGTGCATTATATGCCGGCACATGCTTGTAACACCTGCGACAGACAAGAAACAGAGAAGAAACTGCCGCTCCGGGGCGAGATTGTGTCCGTTGTTCGGGGTTTGGCGGCATCACGTCACCACATCATGCAGCAATTACTTATTAGCGCACTCACTGGTTGACTGGGAGCACCCTGAAATCCAGAGCCACGGTTCCAGTATGACTAATCCCGGCGGTCCCTCAGCGCTCCCTTATAAATCACCTCGGCCAAACTCTCTAGTCCACCGGTTATAGGAGCTGACAGCCTCGCCGTCTTTCTGATTGATTCAATTCCTGGCTATCCCTCATTGGCATTGCATGCACCGATTCTTGCATTGGTTTTCCATCCCACAGGAAGACACCCGACTTTGAAGATGCCCGCCGGAGACCAGTCCCGTGTGTCACATGCGGGGGCGCACGACGACTCCCAGAAGCTTCCGCCGTTCTACTCGCCGCGCACGACCGCAGCCGACAATGGTGACACCGCCTCCCAAAACATCGAGGAGCTGAACATTGGGTCCTCGACTCCCTCTTCACAGCCCATCGAATCGACCCTCGGCGAACTTCCCCCGCCGTCGCTCCTCTCCCCCGCCTTCACCCCGCCAGCGACGCCTGGCTCCAACACCCCGAGATCTGCCGCCGCAGCCGGACCCCGTGGCGTCCCAGTCGACAGCTCCGTCCCCTCTGGAGGATGCGGCAACAAGAAGCCCAAGCTGCTTGAGACATTGCCCGAGGTGGAATGTCTCGTGCGGGCACGGATCCCCACCGTGGCAGGGACGGAGATGTTTCTCCACCTCTACACCAATAACGTCGACAACAAGGAGCACCTGGCCATCGTCTTCGGCAACAACATCCGGAGCAGGAGCCTCGACGCGCCGCGCGAGGGCGAGACGGAGATGGACCGCATGATCCGCGGCGCCTACACGGGGAGGCTCTACCCCGGCCGGACCAGCAGCAACGTCGAGCAGGCCCAGCCGGACGACGCCGGCTCAGACTCGTCTCGGTCGGAGCCGCCGCTCGTGCGCATCCACTCGGAGTGCTACACGGGCGAGACGGCCTGGTCCGCGCGGTGCGACTGCGGCGAGCAGCTGGACGAGGCCGCCCGCCTGATGAGCCTCCCCGGCAACTCGACGGGCGGCGTCATCGTGTACCTGCGGCAGGAGGGCCGGGGCATCGGGCTGGGCGAGAAGCTCAAGGCGTACAACCTGCAGGACCTGGGCTCGGACACGGTCGAGGCCAACCTGCTGCTGCGGCACCCGGCGGACGCGAGGAGCTACGGGCTGGCGACGGCGATGCTGCTGGACCTGGGGCAGCGGGACATCCGGCTGCTGACCAACAACCCTGACAAGATCCGGGCTGTCGAGGGTCCCAACAGGGAGATTGTCGTCAAGGAGCGGGTGGCCATGGTGCCGCTGTCCTGGAAGGGACGGGGCGGGTTCAGGAGCCAGGAAGTAGAGGGCTATCTCAAGGCCAAGGTAAGAACCGTTCCTTTCTCTATCATCTCGTCCGGGATGGATGCTAAATTCCTACTTTCTAGATCGAAAAGATGGGTCACATGCTAGACATGGGCGGGCTTTCTCAATAACCTGTCCAATTGGGGTAGAGCACGGCGATTTTTTTGCATTTTGGGTTGGGTTTGACACATAGATGGAGTTGGGTTGGCTATTTTGGAGAAGGCGTTCGGTCAATTGCATGCATGAAGATGGAGACTTGAGAAAAGCTGGGATGCCTCGGCTCATTGAAACTACCAATATATCTACCTGGTTTTTTAGCCGAATGTGCATACTTGGGGACAGCAGAAAATTAAATTACTATATGACGAGATCAATGAATCAATTCACGGTCGCAACTGCTTGATTGATTATGACTCTGCCTCGTGCCTTCCTCAGTCCGTGCCTGCTTTCCGGAAATGGCTGCTGAGTCATCGCACATCGCGAATGGCAGCGATGCCGGAGGACCAGCGTATGTGACAAGCGGAGGGGAAGCGGCGACAATCCGAACGACGGGGAACTGGTCCACGGCTCCTCACGTGTGCTCCTCCTACGCCCTTGCGGATGCTTATGTTATGGACTACCGCTGCCCATGTAGAGTGCAGAGGGCAGAGTGGGATAGGGTGCGGTTGACAAGTCCCATCCGCAGTATTAGTGG